AAAGGCGAAGTGGACGTGGGTGTAGTAGTTGGTGTCGATTCTGTTCGCCTGTTGCGATCGAAGTTTATCAGCAGCTGTGACAGAGAAGTCCAAGAGAGGGCATTATACAGGCATGTGAAGACAAGGACGGTTGGCATTCCATGCCTCCCAGTAAGCAATCCGCTTAAACTCTGCAGGAGGAGTAGTGTCTCCGACGATGTCCATGCCGCAACTGGCGATACAACCGTTTGACCCTGGTGTGGCCGTGCCGGGTCCACCTCCAAGGACTGGACTTGGGATGCAGAAGTTTTCGTCGATACCACATTGTCCCCAGACGTTGCAGCAAGCGTTGAGGGGACATGGGTTGAGGGTCGCAAGGTCGTTCATGTTGGCGGGCTTGAGGGTTCCGGGAACCTGGGGTCCGCAAATGGCGTTGGCAAATGGGGCTGGCATGGGCGGTGAACCTGTTGAAAGGCCTGTGGGTGACTTGTCAGCACAGAGGTTGATCGTCTTCTAGAAAGTTGAGATATCCCACAGATGTTAGCATCCAGCATGAGGTTGGCACAACCCGCCCAGCCCCATGTGTTCTGGTTGAAGTCATTGATTTGCTGCTGTGTAATGTAGTAGGCCGCTGCAATATCCCAACAATTGTCGTTGGCCTGAACAGTGTAGGTATGGCATGAACCGTCCGGGTTGGGCTGCGGGGAGAAGTCGGGCAAGTCTCCCTTGGAGCAGCAGACATGCTGATCGAGCTCTGAGCAGCATAAGTGCTGTCCGACTTGGAAATTCGAGCAGAATTCGGGGGCGGGATTGTAACCGGTGAGTTGTGACCCTGTGATTCCGCACTTTGTAGCCAGAGACCTAATAAACGGTTAGTAAGGCTGTACTGCTAAGAGATGGGATTGTGAGGTAAACGTGCCAGCAACTCTCTCCAGTCTCAACCTGAACGGTGGTACAGGTTTGGCCCATGTTGATTGTTCGCCTTTGTTGGGTGGCCTACAGTCAGAACAGATGCTTCACCACGAGAGAAGACTTGGGGCTCTTATAGTCGGATCGTCTCATGCTCGCGATGTCATCTCCCCTTGTTATTCCGTGGATGGCAACATTTGCGAGAATAATGAGTTCCTACCTCAAGACACGTCAGCCATTCCAATTTCCCGCGTTACTCTACCAGTTTGACACTAGCCTGCCCCAGGAGAGGAAGTTGGACGCAGGTGTTGAAAATGGACCACAGGGTAGCGGATATGTGTAGTCCTAGCCTGGCTGGTACAAGCGTCGTGATAAGTATCCCGGTCTTTGGAACCCCTCAACGGTCACCCCATGCCTGGTACCTGCATCCTGCCATCGTGCTGAGCACCAACGTATCACGCGTAAGTCGTACAAATTCGACAAGCGGCCCGTGATGACGCGCAGGTTTGAAGCGGTCACCACTCTGCCGAAATAGGAGTACACTTGCTAGCCTTGTTCCTTGTTCTGTACCAAAACTACAAACGTTAACCGACAGATATTATTTGATATTGAGAAGCACATGTTCGTTGTCACTGACCTCGATCATCCTGTCAGCTCTGACCATCTCATCTATTCACCCCATGACCAAGATTCCAATAACAATAGTTGTTTGGATAGTCGACTCCGAAGTCCAGCGCTTTGCTTCCATGCTTGGCCATCCTTTCATATGGTGGTTGGAACTTGGCTGTCAGCCTCTCGTGGGCTAGCGAGTTGTTGAACGCTAGTCGAAAGCGAAGGCTGCGCTGCATGTTGATGTTTCTGTAGGGAGGTTACATAGGTTGTCGAATTCTACGACGTGAAAACATAGAATAGAGCTTGGCCGTTGACTAGCTTGTACTACTAGGATTTGTCGTTGGTTCATATTGCGTTTCACCGTTAGTGGGGAAGTTTTCTGCCTGCAGGTACGCGATCACATTCACATCGGAAGTCACTAGTCTAGCTACCCGTTAGATCCATCAAAGTCACCGGATGCTGAGCCCTCCTGATAATCTTCAAATCGATGAAGCATCATCCAGCGTGGGGGAAGAAAGGCGGGCCAACGTGGAACACTCAATGGCGGCTTTTGTACAATGATGCGATTTTCGTGCCATGATGCGATTTTTGTACAATGATGCGATTTCAAAATCTTCAGAGTGACTGCGTGTAGTTCTGCTGGGAGCTTGAAAAAGCACGGTGGTGGTAATGTTGATGGAAAAAGACGGCTTTGGACGAAATCTATGTAATTACACACATCACGTGTATCTAGCCGCCGAGCTGAGCTGCCCAAACTGTAATCCTGATACTGCCTGAAGCAGCCTCACTTCTTCTCACAATAACGCGACCTTTGGACTTTTTTCCGTCCAAGTTGCTTCGTCCCAGCCATGTCTCAGCAACCTTGCCTTCTAGAGAGGCTCCCTTTACACATTGCCCAGTACCTCGCCAACTTCCTTCATCAAGACAGCATCCGCCCTTTTTCCTTGGCCAGCAAGTTCTGCTGTCAAGCAGCGGCACCACGCCGCTTTACCAGCCTTAAGCTCACCGCGCGCGAGAGGGACAAGTTCGATCGTGATGTGGAAGAACTGAGAGCAACTCTCGCCGTCGAAAATCGCTCCCATCACGTCCGTCGAATCACGCTGAGGGGTTTTCTCCTCTTGGGAACTGATCATCTTGGCCCAAACGGTGTCGACGGAAGATTCCTCGCCAACGGTGGTTGGAACGAGTCGCCCGACAATGAAGGAGACAGTGAAACGGAGGGTGTTTATGACTCGAGCTATTTCAGGCCTAATCTGCCCAAATACGACTCACAGCGCAAACAAGAGCTGAACGAGGCATGGCAACCCTTCGCCGACCTCATAGGCCAGCTATCTGGCCTGAGAGATCTTATCTACGCCTGCACCCACCAAATACCGCGATGTGTACTCGAGGCATTGCACCAACGCCATCCCCGGAGTCGCCTGCATATGCATACCTTCAGTCTGCGGAGTCTTTACTTGTCCGCAAGTAACGTTCAAGCTATAGACGCCGATGAGTATGCTTTGCTTACATCTCCCTGTCTCTACAGCATCGATATGAAGTACGAGCCATATAGCGACGAAGCAGAGAAAAGCTTCAATACAGAGGCCCTCCACTGGTTGATAGTGAACTCGCCTTCTCTGAGGAAGTTCAAGCTTGACTACAGGTACGATACTATGGCGGTGCGGCACGGGGCTTATCAGCCCGAATCCTCTTGGGAGGACTTTCTAGAGCAAGCCGGTGCTGGCAAATCTGCCGACGGCAAGATTTCGAAGAAACCCGAAAAGCACCCATTGGAGTCGCTCACATTGCACTCATCTGGCTTTATTTACGAACTGCTCAATCATATTGCAGCCTGGAAACCTCTTCGATCCTTCACAGAACTGCGTCACCTCGAACTATCGCCATGCCTCTCTTTGGACGTCATGTCCTTGATTTCAATGGCAGCAGAGGGCGAGATCCCTTCCCTCAGGAGCCTATCAGTCGACTGGGAAGACATGCACAACAACCTCGGCCAGTTGCTTTCAGTTCTACCTCATCTCGACACCCTCAAGCTGAGCGGCAATCTCGATAAGACGACCTTTCAAGGGATCCACGATGGCCCACGCCTGGCCTTGCGCAAACTTCAGATTTACCCTTTTGCGCCCCTGGATCATTCCCAGGTGCGACAGCTGATTCAGTGGTGTCCAAACCTGGAAGACGTCCGCCTACGTCTAGCGCGTGAGGCGGGACCGCATGAAACTGCCATCTACCGACTTCTTGGGCGGTTGCCACGGCTCCGACGGGTTGTGCTGCAGTTTGTCTGTCCAGAACCGCAATACCCTCCTCCCATCAGCGCGATCATGGATCTGTCATGGGACAAGTTTCGAGACGTTCGGAAGGCTTTAGTCGAGATTGCCGTCGATGAGACTTTGGCTCGTGCCATCTTTCGAAAGATTGCAGCAAGAAAGTGCCCATTGGAACGGCTCAAAATCGAATGCCTCCCGATCCAAGATTCCGCCAGGGCCCTCAGATCTTACCACGCCGTGTCATCATCCTACGACGCCAGTTGGAAAGATATCGTGGAGGTTGTCGGTGGTCGTACATGGATCTGCACAAGACAGGATGTAGAATCATCCGAGGTGGAGGTGCGTGAGGTTACCAAGGAGACTGGCAGCAGGGACAAGGCATTGGAATGTCTTAAGAAGACGGATGATCAAGAAGTCAATGAGCTTTGGAAACAGGTATGGCCTCCGCGTGAGGGGGGAAGTGATAAGTGGTGGGAGAATTGGTGGAGTTATCCTCTGTCTGACATTCTCGACGACAATGGCGAAGATGCGGTCGGGGGTGCGGGGCCTGACATTTAGATGATGATACGACCACGAGATGCGCTGTGATCATACATGTAGAAACAAGTAATGGAACAAATGACTTTCATTTCGATAGGCCACAGAACTGACAAGCAAGTCCACTCTTCAGTGACATACACGCTAGACATGTCTATAATCAATTGATCAAAAGTTCAGGAGAGGTTGGCATCTTCATTCATCCCAACTCACGAACCTTATCGATGTCGCCGCTCCCACCGGAAACACCCTCCGCCTATCTAGCTCCCCCAATACGAATCATTAGCTCACCTCTATCACGACTCATTCACCACCAAACCAGCCACATCTCGTAATCCCGCCCTGGCGTCACAGCGTGGACCCCTAAAACCCCGTCTTTGTTTACGTCCCCCCGACGTCATCCCCCCAAAAGCCCTCCCCGATCAGCCACCAGGATAAGATCCGCCCAACACGCGGCCCCGGCCCGTCCATAGGTTTGAATAAGATTCCTGCTGCCTTGACAGCCCCATCTTCAACTATATAGCCCCTCCTCCCGGAAGTTCCCCGTCTTACCTTTCCTCCCTTAACTTGAACCGTGATTTTCGTTTCTGCAATTTCCCACAGCAAAAAATATCCTCATCGTACACCAATCGAAAATCATACTTGGTTTGAGAAAGACAAAGAAACCCCCCCCCCCCCCACACCACCACCACCACGATGAGTGACTGCGGCTGCTCAACCTCGGGAACGTGCACCTGCCCCAAGGGCCAGTGCACATGCACCAACTGCCCTGTACGCATTCCAACCTACCTCCTTTCCTTTCCTCCATATGAAAGAAGAAACACCCGCTAATGCTTGTTTGTTGTTTTGGTGCGAAAAGCACCCCAAGGAAGACAAATAACCCTATCACCGACCGACCGATCATTTTTGCAGGTGGAGGGAGGGGGAGAGACGAAACAACTCGGCAAGCACATAACACTCTTGTGGTGCTGATGACGACCAGCAGAAATATCCGTACGGTGCCTGTGTGGCGTTTGACTTTTGTGGTTTGGGACACGTCATGATGGGATGGGTGGTTTGAGATGAAAAACAGATCCGACATCCGGGAGGATAGGTGACTAGGGGGGGGGGGGGGAGAGGACGGGAGAGGAGAGGGGGTTTGAATGGTGATGGTGTACATGTGCGATGGGTTTTGAGTCTTGAGATTTGTGTGGTTGCTAGCATTTTGCTGTTTTCTGCAATCGGAAATGTGGGAATCTGGAGTTGTAGCAACATTTGCTGATTTTGCTTTTTTGACCTGTCTAGGGGAAATATGATAGGATGGGGATTGGGAGTGGGTGTGGTGGTTTGGTAGGTGATTTTCATCAGATATGGTGGTGAGAAAGGTCAAAAATAGATTTGTTGTTGATGTATGAGTATGTTTGTCAAATGGTCATTTGTTTGGCTCAGTTTACACCTATTAAAATAGCAAAATTAACTGTTTCTGCGGTGCATATGAAGTATTGGCATGGCTGGTAGATACAGCACCAAGTTCACATGACAAGGACCTTCTTTCCACCAGAGATGGCGATTATGGATTTGTGATGCTGAAAGTTCTTCTTGAACCCTGACATGCCTGAGGAAAAGCCTGTTCCTCGGAAATCAAGGTGCCACTTACACCAAGTCCGGGGCTAGCGGAGCCGGGAGTTGGAGTGTGGAGCCGCCGGGATCGGCCCCGTGGCTCCAGACTCCGGAGCAAACCCCGCCAGTTCTCCAAATCTTGGGGTTCCAAGGATCAAGCTTTTGGTTATGGGCGCAATAATGAACACATACAGAGTAGTGTTTGAAATGTAGATAACGGCTACCTCGAACGAAGATTTGTCTTCTCGGCATCGAGACCTTTACCTGAACATAATGACATGTAAAAGAAGGAGGACTGCATGAGCTCCGCTGCGGTCAAATACTCGGCGAGAAGCAGCTCGTGTGGGGAGACAGAGGGCATGACGACACCGAGGACAGGCGAGATGTGGAAGCACTTGCCTAATTTGCCTGCACAAACACCTCCTTGACAGCAGCTATTGGTCGATTCCACCGTTGAACAGGTTGAACAGGCGTGCAGCTGCCCGCCATCGTACTTCCCAAATTATACGGCCTCATGACCGTAGTGCGGGGCATTTTACTTCTTCTCATCGACTGAACGCGGGGCACATATCTTTCGCTCACCACAACCTCACCCTAATCATCCGCATCACCACGATACGCTCCGGTATATGAATACCTTCTTTTACGATCTGCCGGTCCCAGAGCTCACCTTTACGACAAGATACCTGCCCTAGAACCGGAGGCTACCATCCAAAATGGCCGGCCCTGTCCCCGTCGCCAGCTCTCTGAGCGACATCTACACCGTTGATGCCATCGGCACTCAAGCAAAGAGATGGAACAACCTCCTCGCTCGCTTCCAGACCATCTACGGCCAGCCAGCCGAGTTCGTGGCTAGATCACCCGGCAGAGTGAACATCATCGGCGAGCACATCGACTACTCTCTCTACCCCGTCCTCCCCATGGCCATCACTGCCGACTCACTCCTTGCTGTATCAACCAACGTTGCCTCTACCAACACCAAGGAAGGCCACTACAAGATCAAGATCGCCAATGTTCAAGACGCCAAATTCCCCGCTCACGAGTTTGACATTCCCTATGAAGCCGTGGATATCGATGCTACTGTTCACGAGTGGACCAACTACTTCAAGTCTGGCCTCAAGGGTGCTTTGGAGCTGCTGCGCAAGAAGCACGGCAATGACTTCGAGCCAAAGAGCATGCAAATCTTGATGGATGGGACAGTTCCGGCGGGTGGTGGCTTGAGCTCCAGCGCTGCATTTGTGAGCTCGAGTGCTCTGGCTGTCATGGTGGCCAATGGTGAGAAGACTGTGGACAAGACTGAGTTGACTGAGCTGGCTATTGTGAGCGAGCGGGCTGTTGGTGTCAACTCGGGCGGGTAAGTTCATCACCATCTTATACCATTAATGACCATCGCTGACATGTCTCCAGAATGGACCAATCCGCCTCCGTCTTCTCAGAACGCGGCTCAGCCCTCTTCGTCTCCTTCACTCCCTCCCTCAAAGCCCGCCCGGTCTCGTTCCCCAAGACTAACCCCGAACTCACCTTCCTCATCGCCCAATCCTTCGTCACAGCCGACAAGTTCGTCACTGGCCCCGTCCACTACAACCTCCGGGTGGTAGAATGCTCTCTCGCCGCTGCCTACCTCAACGCCGTTCTCAACCCCCCCGGAACCCAACTCCCATCTGACGCCAGCCCGCTCTCGGTCAGTCTTCACGGCTTTCACGAAACGTACTTTGCCCTCCAGGAGCACTCTTCTGGCGCGACAAAGTCCAAGTCGACCGAGTCCCAACTTGAAGAGTTGGTTGCTCTCACAGCAGAAAAGCTCGACAAGAGGGACGGCTACACCCGCGAGGAGATCGCCGCCGTCCTTAACATCTCAGTCGATGAACTCAACAAGAAATTCACCTCTCGCTTCCCCGTCCGGGCGGAGAAGTTCAAGTTGAGACAGAGAGCCCTCCACGTGTTTAGCGAAGCGTTAAGGGTGCTAAAGTTTATGTCCTTGCTTGAGCAGCAACCGACAAACACGGATGACACATCAGAGTACAATGCCCAATTAGGCGACCTGCTCAACCAAACCCAGGACTCGTGCCGGGATGTCTACGAGTGCAGCTGCAAGGAGATTGACGAGCTGTGTTCTATCGCGAGAAAGGCGGGGAGCTATGGGAGTAGACTGACGGGTGCTGGGTGGGGTGGTTGTTCGGTCCATCTCGTGCCTGCTGGCAAGGTCAAGGCTGTGAGGGAGGCGTGGGAGAGGGAGTATTACAGCAAGTTGGACTTGAGCGAGGAGCAGAAGGAGGCTGCGGTGGTGGTGAGTAAACCGGGGAGTGGGAGCGCGGTTTACTTGGTGGACGATAAGCCCGGGCCGGTGGTGGTGGATGATAGGGATAGGGGTAGTGAGGTGTATTGAGATGGTTGGGGCTTGGGATACCTAGAGAATTCATGAACTGAGAATTAGTTGAAACATTTTTTGTTCAATTGCCTTTGGGTTTCCATTTCACTTTCAGTGAACCTATTCTGGAAGCTGTCTTTTCTGTCTGTCCACCCTCTCGTAATTCTCTCAACAAAAATAGACCAATGCAGTTACGCTGTTCATAAGCCCAACCTAGGTAACCCCATCCTAACCGCCAAATCACCTAACTTTCCAGATAGTACTACAAAATATAGTCTCATTACAAATGATCTACCCCCCTTCTCCCCCTCCTAGTTATCCTTCCCCGCCGCCCGTCTCTCCACATTCTTCACCCTCCTATTCTGCTTCACCTGCACCCTCCTCCACTTGACATACAGCGTCCAGGCGTCCCTCAGCACCACATACAAACACCCCCCGACCAAACTCCTCCCCCACTGATGCTGCAGTATACTAGGCGCAAACACCCCGCCAGTCCCAGCAGCAACAGGAATAGTCCTCCTCCTCCCACCACCACCCCAAATCGACGACCAGATTGAATCCCTTTGAAAGATCGACCTCGTAACCCACGACTTGGGCGCCAAGAACCGAATCGCCTCCCCCATGCCAAACGAAATCACCGGCATGAGAAGCGACGAGACTATCGAATTAATAAACAGCGACAAGAAATTCGTTTCCCCCTCCCCGTTCGGACCGGGTGGTGGACGGGCAACTTCGTTGTTGTCGCGGTTGCGGTGGTTGCGGAGGTTGCGGCCGTTGTTGTTCTGTGGCGGAGGAGCCGGTTGTTGTGCCGCTGCCGGCGGAGGTGCAGGAAGCCCAGCAGGAACAGCCACATCCATATGAATATTCCCCATTTCATCTTGATCGTCATCGTTGTGATGGTGGTGGTGATGATCATGATCATGGTCATGCCCGTCATCTCCGAGATTGAGCTGCACCTCAAAGACGATTTCATCGGCTCTGCCCATTACATCGTCGTCATCAAGATCAGCATCTGCTTGGTCGTCGTCATCCCCAAAGAGGCCCACCACCGCGCGGCCGAGATTGATTACCGCGTCCCACATGCCTTCTTCTCCGTTTTCGCCTTCTCTTTGGTTGTTGTTGTTGTTGTTGTTGTTGTTGTTGTTGTTGTTGTTGTTGTTGTTTCCTGCTCCGTTTTGTGGTGGTGGTTGTTGTTGTTCGCCAGGTTGCCGTTGTTGCTGCTGGCCATTAGCTGCGACAGCTTGGATAGGTGGTGGTTGCTGTTGCTGCTGTGCCTCGTTCGGCGGCTCTTCATCCATGGGCCTGCCACGGAGGGCTCGGTTGAGCCGCTTTTCCAGCTTGCCAAAGAGCTCGTAGTAGAGAAACGTGTAAGCGAATTGGACGCTCGGCATCAAAGCCACGGCCCATACTGGTGATGGGGGCCAGGTGAGAGGTTGACTGCGGCCGATTAGGAACGTGCTGTACTGTAGAGGATGTTAACAGATAATTTGAAGTGGTGAGAATTGACATGAGGGGGGAACTTACCAGTGCACTAACTGGCAACACCACCAAGTTGCCCAAGGAAGCCAACCACCTTGACAGCACCAACCCCGGCCCGATCAAGGAGCATGTAATTACCGTAGGTATTACCCCCATCTTGTCAACCATGGACGCGACAGCCTTCCGCCCGGCAAATACTGTGATCGCAGCAAAGCCATAGCTAGCGGCGCCAACAACGCTGCATTCACTGACTATGAGGACAAGAAGGCCTGGGGATATTCGGCTGAACTTCCGGTTGAAGCGGTTGCGCAAGGCGACGATGGCATCGTAGGGTTCTTCGACTGTGATGGGGGATTTGCAAGCTGGGCATTGGAGACCGTTCTTTGACCGCCGGTTGGAAACTTCCATCTCTGCTACCCATTGTAACATGCAGTCTTGGTGGGCTTCGAGGGTACATGGGCATGGATGGACCCAGGTCGCGTCGGGGGTGTCGTTCTCGTTCTGGAGGCAGATGAAGCAGACGTGCTGGTCGTTCTCGGCGTAAGGTGCTGGTACGATGGAGGGGTGAACTGAGGTGGAGGGTGTGAGCGACCCGGTTGGGCTGCTTGCGCCTGATGGCGTCGCCATTGTTGGTGTAGGTAGGTATGGGTGACGGAACAGGAGGATCGGCTGTCGCTGTTGGGACAGTCAGTCAGCAGAGAAGAAGCATGTGATAATGTAACCAAAAAGTTATACTCAAAGAGTACACGCGACTGTGGTTGCCCCGGTTATATCGGCACTTCGACTCTTATAAATAGTGATCAATTCTGGGCAACGGTGTTGGTGAGTTCAACGCCTGGAAGTTTAGAAGTCGGCGGCTCGAGTTGAGAGCTCCCAGACCAGGGGTTTGCAGTTGACATCAGCGAGCCCCACTATTTGATTTGCGCCCAACCGGCACCTCTCCCGTTTGGTACTAGTGCCGGAGCGCTACAGAATAGCTGCTACCGTTTCTTGCAGCTGCCCGCCATGGCCGGATATTTTCTGTAGACGTCAAGGTTCCAGACCCACGCATATCCCACCTCCAACCTCCACCCCTCCATCGACTTGTGTGGAATCCAGCCGACGCATCTGGCTCTTGGGTTGAAACCGAGCCCCGCCAACAAACTTAACTAGCTGACTACCAATTTCCATCTACTTTCCTCTTTGCTTTTGGGTTTCTGCCGGGATACATCAAACCATCGTCCTTTCACCTCAAGATACCCAGTCCGCCGCCAGCAGGAGATCTGCTTTCCTTTTCATAATGGTATTCATCACCTTTCTTTGCGCGGGGTAGCAGCCGCAACTTCGCCTTCTACCCCTATCTTCATATATGAATATATGGGAATCTAACTATCCCACCACAGGCAGCCCAAAACTCCAAGCAGCGCCTCGCCCTCGCAGTCTGCGACTTCCTGTCCTCCTCCCTCAAAGACGGCACCCTCCGCGAGGAAGACTCCGACAACATCGACATCGCCATCAACTGCATCACCGAGGCGTTCTCGGTCGATTTCTCCGACAAGGCCGCTGTCTCTTCAGCCATCGGCTCCCAAAACCTCCTCCAGATATACTCTGTCTACGAGAAGTTGAAGAATGTCACCGCTCCCGCCTCCTCTCAGTCTGCAGGTTCTTCCAGCGCCCCACCACCATCAACCGCCGTGACGGAAGAGCAGAAGAAGCAGGCCGAGTCCTTGAAGTCCAAGGGCAACGCGGCAATGGCCCAAAAGGATTACCCTACCGCCATTAACTACTACACACAGGCCTTGTCGGTCCACCCCGGCAACGCCATTTTCCTATCCAACCGCGCCGCCGCCTACTCCGCGGCCAAGGACCACGAGTCCGCCAAGGCGGATGCCGAAGCTGCCGTTGCTATTGAGCCAACATACACCAAAGCCTGGTCTCGCCTCGGTCTCGCCCGTTTCGCTCTCGGTGACGCCAAGGGCTCCATGGAGGCCTACCAGAAGGGTATCGAGTACGAGGGTAACGGTGGCAGCGACGCCATGAAGAAGGGGTACGAAACAGCCAAGAGGAGGGTAGCGGAGATTGAGGCCGAGGAGTCAGCTAGTGCCACTGCTCGAAGCGCCTCTCCCTCTGCAGGAGGCGGCGGTACTCCCAGTCTGGCCGACCTGGCTGGTATGCTCGGCGGCGGTGGCAGAGGGGGCGGTGGCGGCGGTCCAGGTGGATTGGATTTCGGTGCCATCATGAACAACCCCATGTTTGCGAGCATGGCGCAGAACCTGATGAGCAACCCAGACATGATGGCCAACTTGATGAATAACCCTAGGTTGAGGGATATGGCCAACTCGTTTGGTAGCGGGGGTGGGCTGCCGGATATTGGGAGTTTGATGTCTGATCCTTCTATTGCTGAGATGTGAGTTTTGTTCATGAAACTTGTTGATTGAACATATTACTGATTAAGATGAAAACAGGGCCAGAAATATGATGGGCGGTGCTGGTGGTGCTGGTGGTGCTGGTGCTGGTGCTGGTGCTGGTCGGGGCAGTGGTGCTCCTTGAGCTGTGTGATATTCACTATACCTAATCACCAGTCTTGCTTCGTTTGTCAATTCGTAATAATAGATGGACATGTCCCGATTCTTTTTGGTCCGTTATTATGTGGAAGAATACCTAGATATGTTGTGCTGTTTTTTTATGAGGAGGGAGCGTTAAAAGCAAGGTCGATGCTCAATTGTCTCTTGTTCGAGCGAGGCAGATAGACTTCACGATTTCAAATGAATTTTGAAGATTTACATTGAGAGATGAACAACAGACGAGTTGAGAAGAGGAGGATTTCCCGAGCTGAAACATTGAATATATATTCAAGTCAAGTCGCTGGTCGCTGCTCAGCCATAACGATGCCGTCATATATATCTTTTGAGGGAATGATAAAATGCGGCTTTCAATCTGGTAAATTACCTAGGTATTATTGCGGCTTTGAACCAATATGGCAAAACGCTTCAAGTAGCTAACTGATGAATTACTCAGATACCTACCTCACTAAGAAAGCCCTCTTGATTGAGCAGGCCCTCAAGATGGATTCATGACAACCTCGGGTATCTAATGTCCAACAACAGGTGACAGAGTTCAAGATTCAATTACTCACATAAGGTAGACCCGATCAAAAAAGAAACAGTGATGCATATCACACCGTGATAACCATTTAGTGCCTATTTACACGAGACCTAGCCAGCCCTATTCTATCTCTTTGATTTTCATCTAGTTACATTCATTCCAATACCCTTTTACTTCCCTCCTCATATAAAAAGAAAACAAAATCAAACCCACCCACCCAACAAATGTATGCCTCCCATTTTCTTTTTATGACACAAAGCCCCTACACCATATATCCCCATAAACGCCTCCGCCAGCAAAACACCTTAATGTCTATTTTTGTTCGTTTATTTCATTTCAATCAAGCCGGCCTCAGGTAAGGCTATCTACCCAACCCAGCGTCTAGCACTCCTAAACATTCTCAACCAAGGACCAAACTCGCCCCACTGCTCAACATCCTCCCTGGGCGCGTAGCTCGTCACATCCGCCATGATGGTTCTCTCGGGGTGAGGCATCATAGCCAACACCCTTCCATCCCTGCTAGCAACACCGGCGATACCGCCAGGGCTGCCGTTGGGGTTGTAGGGGTATGTCTCGGTGACCTCGAGTCTATTGTCGATGTATCTGATGGGAATGCCACCCGACTCAGTCAAGCTCTGGAACTGCTGCTGGCTCTGGAACTCGGCACGGCCCTCGCCGTGAGAAACAACGATGGGCAGGGAGGAGCCGTTCATGCCGTTGAAGAAGACAGAGGGGTTGGACGGGTTGTCCTCGATCTTGACCATGCTGTAGCGGGCCTCGAACTGGGTAGAGTTGTTCTGGACAAAGGCGGGGAAGTCCTCGGCGCCTGGGATGAGCTCCTTTAAGCGGGAAAGCATCTGGCAACCGTTGCAGACTCCGAGAGCGAAGGTATCCTTGCGCTGGAAGAACTCGGCGAGCTCCTTGCGGGACTTTTCGTGGAGGAGGATGGACTTGGCCCAACCCTGGCCGGCGCCGAGAACGTCACCAAAGGAGAAGCCACCGCAGGCAGCGAGACCGACAAAGTCGGCCAGGGAGCGGCCGTTGATGATGTCGGTCATGTGGATATCGACAGCGTCGAAGCCAGCAGCGCGGAAAGCGAAAGCCATTTCGGCGTAGCCGTTGACACCTTGCTCGCGAAGGATGGCAACGCGAGGGCTCTTGCCGAAGAAGCCAGTAATCGAGGCGGTCAGAGGAACAATGTTCTCGGCAGGCGAGAAGGTCAGGTTGTAAGAAAGACCGGGGTCGGCAGAGTCAGCAATGGTGGCATACTCAGACTCGGCGCAGGAGGGGTCGTCTCTGAGCTTCTGCATCTCGTAAGAGACCTTGGACCACCATTGCTGCATCTCGGCTCTGTCAAGGCTGGCGAAGGGAGCACCCTCTCCGTAACGGATGTTGAGGTTCTGCTTAGACGAGTCCTGGACAACACCAATCTTCTTGATGAGCCCCGCAGGAGGGCCACAAGTGGCGAAGCATCTCTTAAAGTTGGTCTCGTCTGAAGCGCGAACCTGGAAGACGGCACCCAACTCTTCGTGGAACAGAGCCTCGGTCATGTCAGCAAGGCTGCCAGACTTGGCAACACCATCCATCATGACATCAACGCCGCAGCGACCAGCGAACATCATCTCAGCGACGGTGGTGACAAGGCCACCATCAGAGACATCGTGGTAGGCAAGAACGATGCCGCTCTCGTGAAGCTGGGCAAGAGCGTCAAAGTAATCCTTGAGGAGATCCACATCACGGACATCTGGGGCTTCGTGGCCGATGGCACCAAATGCCTGGGCAAGAGCAGAGCCGCCAAGAGCCTTGTGGCCTTGGGCCAAGTCGACATAGAGGAGCACAGTCTCGCCGACATCCTCAACACGGCGAAGCTGGGGAGTCCAGGTACGGCGAACATCCTCAACCAGGGTAAAGGCAGAAATGACGACCGACACGGGAGCGGTAACACTCTTCTTAGTCTCCCCGTCCTTCCAGCTGGCCTTCATCGAGGTGGAGTCCTTGCCAACAGGAATGCTGACGCCGAGCTTAGGGCAGAGCTCCATACCGATGGCCTCGACAGCCTCGTAGAGAGCAGCACCCTCGCCGGGGTGGTTGACAGCGGCCATCCAGTTGGCGGAAAGCTTCACACGCTTGAGATCGCCTCTGTAGGAGCCACCCTTGATATCGGCAGCACCGAGGTTCAACAAACTCTCGGCAACAGCCATTCTGGCGGAGGCAGCAGGAGAGATCAAAGCCAGTGTTGGCTTCTCACCCATGGCCATCGCCTCACCAGTCTTCATACCGTTCAAGCTGAACGAAGTAGCCGTGACGGCGACGTCAGCAACTGGTGTCTGCCATGGGCCAACCATTTGGTCGCGAATGGTAAGACCACCGACGGTGCGATCGGCGATGGTGATGAGGAATGACTTGGAGCCAACGGAAGGCAGCCAGAATACTCTCTGGACAGCTTGCTTGAAAAGATCGGCGTCGCTGGCAGCATCGCCAAGAGCAGCCTTGAGGCTGGCGACGGGCTCGAAAACGGGCCAGGTAGGCTTCTTGGAGCTGACAATGCGCTCGAGCTTGCGGCCCTTGGGGAAAAGAACGTCCATAGGGACATCAATAGGGCGGGGGTACTCCTTCGACTCCTTGTCGCTGAGAACCAGTCTAGAGACACCGTCCTCTTCCTTGGACAAGACAGTTCCAACATCCGAGAAACCGCAGCGTTCACGTCCTATTGCCCAGTCAGTCAAGAGCACAATGCGACTCTGAAAAATAAATCAAACTTACTGCAGATAGCAGTGAAGCGCTCCATGCCATCGCTGTTCACCAGGATGACATAGCGCTCCTGGGCTTCGTTGCACCAAATCTGGAGAGGGCTCATGCCGCGATCGACGCACTCGACCTGGCGAAGCTCGAATCTTCCACCAAAGCCAGCATCCTTGACGAGCTCAGGTAGAGCATTCGAAAGACCACCAGCACCAACGTCGTGAATCATGGCAATGGGATTGTGGTCTCCGAGAGCGACGCAAGTGTTGATGACCATCTGCGCACGGCGTTCCATTTCAGGGTTGCCACGCTGCACACTGTCAAAATCAAGGTCGGCGTTACCCTCTCCGGAAGCGTTACTGGACGCAGCACCACCACCCAGACCAATCAACATGGCAGGTCCACCGAGGACGATAACATGAGCACCCTCCTGAACATCCTTGGGATCCTTGAGGGCGTGCTTCTCTCTCACAGTACCGACGCCACCAGCAATCATGATAGGCTTGTGGTAGCCACGGAACTCGCCCTCGGCCTTGGTGTCATCGGCAGTAAGGAGAGTTCTGAAAGTACCGGTTAAGCATGGGCGACCGAATTCGTTGTTGAACCGGGCACTTCCAATGGGGGCCTCCAACATGATGTCAAGACTGCTGGCGTAGTGAGCAGGGCGACCGACATCGATTTCCCAGGGCGCCTTGTGCTCGGGGATATGCAAATCAGAGACCCAGAAACCGCAGAGACCAGCCTTGGGCATGGAGCCCCTGCCAACGGCACCCTCATCGCGAATCTCACCACCAGAGCCAGTGGCAGCTCCGGGGAAAGGGGCAATGGCGGTCGGGTGGTTGTGTGTCTCAACCTTGGCGAGAACGTGAATAAGCTCCTTGTTCAACTTCCAGGAGCCAGTAGAGTAGTCAGGGGCCCACAGGTTGGCGTTTTCACCCTGAATGACAGCCGCATTGTCGCTGTAAGCCGAAACGGTGAAATCAGGGGTGGCCTTGTGGGTATTCCTGATCATGCCAAACAAGCTGTGCTCCTTGGTGATGCCATCGATAGTCCAGTTAGCGTTGAACTGCTTGTGACGACAGTGCTCCGAGTTGACCTGAGCAAACATGAAGAGCTCGATATCATGGGGAGGGCGGCCCAGCTTGGTGAACTGCTCCACCAAGTACTCCACCTCAGACTGATCCAGGGCCAGGCCGCGAGCCTTGTTGTACTCATTGAGCACCTGGACCGGGTCCCGGCCTTCGGCAAATATGTCAACGACCTCCAAAGGAGCGGGCTCGCTTTCGGCAAACATGGTGTTGAGATCCGGCTCTTCTGTCGTGAGGTGCTCGGTCATGCGATCATGCAGAACATCCTTGAATGGAACAGTCTTGTCGTTATAAGGCTGATCAAACTCGATGGTGATGATGCGTCCGCGCTCTATCCGCTGAATCTGGTTCTCGAAGCCGCAAACATGGGCAATCATGGTGGCCTTGGAGCTCCATGGCGAGAGATATCGCGGTGTCACGAACCATTGGCGGCCGTAACCGATGTGAGTGAGAGGAGGAGTGGATGAGCCGGAGAGCGGGAGAAACTGGGAGAGGGTTTGCTTCGCGGCATTGGCGTCGCCGTTGATGTGGGCGTAGTAGATCCAGGAGCCGGCGAGCTTGGACACCTTGATGGGCGCTATCTTGTTGATCTGATCTTTGAGCTTCTGGGCCTCGGAGGCCGTGAAGCAGGAGTCACCTGCGAGGGTGAGGTGCGCCATCGTTTGCGGTGATTGCGATGACACAGAAGAGGGAGCAATGACAACGGGGCGGGGGGGAGGTCAGCTCAAATATAGGGGATGGACGACTGCAGAGAGCCAAAGCTCACTGGAATGGATACAGAGTCATCGAGCGAGCTGCGAGTCTGGAGGCGGGGTGGTGGTGGCACTTTCGAGTTTTTATGATGGCGGGGCAGAGAGCAGAACCCACTTTATTTTTGCGCTTCCCCACACAATTGGCTGGCTCTCTTATCCAACCACTGCACTTCTCTTATCGCATGGAGGGGCAGCGCGAGAGCGAAACGACGCTTCATGTTCAAGACGAGCATATTCACGGCTTTAATTCTCTCATATCTCGAGTAAAACTTTGATATTTCCTTCTTCTCCTCATTACCCTGAACCACCTATATATCTGAGGAAGATACCTGGATAACCGTCGTACCCTCACATTCAACCGGAACTCGCTCAGGGACGCATGTGTCAGTGTCAACCTCGTCAAGGATTTATCCCAGTCCCTGACTGTCAACTGTCCATCATGCAGTCCTGGCTCGCGAGATCGCTCAGGCTGCGTGGGGGTTCCTTGTCAATTACTCTATCAAATCCATTCAGTTCGGTAAAATGCCTGGGGTTTTGCCGGATTGGATGGCAGCCTTTGGACACGTACGGATCCCCTGAAAACATAGGACCGACAAATGTCTTCCTGAACTACTTACATCCTATTCACTACACATTTAGTAGGCTTCTTCTAGGCTCCTATTGGAGACCCGTCCTCCTAAAGCAGCGATCATTTCAAGACGGTGTTAAGTAGGTATTTAGTGTTTGTGCCATATTCCTCTGGTTATCCACATACAGGTAGTTGATGGCGCCTCAATCAAATTGACAGCGGTTAGTATAACGAGACATAATTCTCTATCAAAGTGAGAAGACCGTCCACTCATGAAGTTGTATTGATCCGCACCTGTTGTTGGTAAACTAGCGGAAGAAATGGCAAGGCAAATCAACTACGACGCTACGGGAGGTTTGCTTCAGAAAGAAGTTCCAAAGACTACCTACTTGAATACTTTCCAGCAGGTATCTCATAACCGCGAGCTCGAAAATCACTTGACTGTAAAAGGTCTACTTTAATGAATTCAGTTCTTGCTTAACACACTAGGATGGATCCTGCTGGTGGCTGAATTTTATTTCAGTGCCTAGTCAAGATGATTGATTAGGGTAGCTATGGTCATGATGAGAACGGTGGATGCTTAGGTACCTACCTAGATATATCATTGGAATGCCATCTATTATGTTATAACACACTGTGAGGTTGTGTAAAATCAATCACAGACATTACCACTGGTGAAGTAAACCAAAAAGGCAGAAAAATGCAAAGGGATTGGACGTACCGGGGTTCGAACCCGGGACCTTCTCAAGGAGCCGTGTATCATTCAAGCCATGCAACTATTACAGAATTGGAACAGTTTCAGAGCAACGAACAATTATTTGCAAATGAGACGTCGTACCACTAGACCATACGCCCTGTCTGTTTTGTTGTTATGTGGAACCAAACACAATCTTATAAGCTTGGTTTCGCGTCTCCCCTGGTTACGGAGGCAACAATGGGGCAGGCAGGTTCGTCTGGGTGTTGCCGGCCTGGCTTCCATCTAACACTGATTACCTACAAAGAGTTAGCTATCAGCAGATCAAGCTGTTTGAGGGAGTTCTAGCAAGCCCGTTTCCCACATCTATACTCCCACAGACGAAGTGGTCGAGTCGTTTTGACAATATCCCTTGATGTCATGAAAAGTTTGACACTGCTCGATAGCCTAGAGGCACCGAACATTTGGCTTTATATTATAGCTACTCTAGAAGATAACCTCTTCTTTTTCTCATTTAGTGGTATCTAGTTGGTTTTGAAGTGTTCGGATGGAGCCGGTCACTTCAAGGAAAGAAAAGATGCGTTCCTCATGGTCTACATCAATTCAAACAACACAGTCAACGCAACCGGGCATTTTCATCCTCGATGTCCTTGCTAGCACAGTTTAACAGAAGGCGCTGAAAATCGGCTTTGGTGAAGTATCTTACCCACGTTGTCGTCGTGAATCCATGACAAAACCGAAACGGACCAAAAACTGGTCACCGGGACTGGCTGTGGGGTCATTTTACCTCAGGCTCTGAAAGCAACTCTAGCATTGTATTGCAAACTTAATACTTATGTTCCAGAGCTTACTAGCATTGAAGTTCTCAAAAGCAATATTTACCTTAAAGTCCATCGTATACTCTGATTTTCTAGTTTCAGTCTTTTTTTATTTTTATTTTTTAAATAAAAACGGTAACGTGCATGATAAGCGAGCGACGCAGATAAGTGAGCGACGCACTCTCCACCACAACACGTCTCTTAAATATCTTCTACTACAATTCACCACCAACAACCATGGACGGCCCTTCAAAAGAAGCTAGACTTCTTTTTACCCTCGAAGCTATTCAAAATAAGGAGGATCTTAGTATCCGTACTACAGCCAAGTTATATAACGTCCCAGAAGCAACCCTCCGCTATAGGCGTAATGGCCGACTAATGCGACGCGATATTTTAGTTAACTTACGTAATTTAACGGATCTGGAGGAGAAGACGATAGTTCAGTACGTCCTTAAGCTATTTACACGCGCATTCCTACCTAAATTAAGTAGCGTGGAAGATATAGCTAACTAACTACTACGCGTACGCAACGCGCCTCTTATTAGTAAACGCTAGGCCTATAACTTCGTTAAACGCTAGCCATAGTTCCGTACGCGTTTTACATATAAATATAACTACTAAAAGGCTAAGTATAAGGATTTAAAGGTTATTATTAAATGGTTTATATTCGTACGGAATATTAAGGCTAAGTATAGTATTATAAATAATAATATTTATAATTTTAATGAAATTAAGTTTATAATAAATATTATTTTCGTAAATATAATAGTTATAACTTCGGACGGCTTTAATAAAATAAAACTAACTTAACTTAATAATTATAAATAAATAATAATAATTTAAAAAGTTAATACCCTCGGCTAAACTATTTTACCTTTTATTATTTTAATTATATAATATTACTTTATTAATTAATATACCGAATATAATTTATTATTTATTTAACGTATCGTAATTACCGATAATAATTAAACTATTAATCCGGTAGGCCTAAATTAAATTAAATATTTTAATTATTATATAGCGTCCTATACGAAGGGTAAATACCGGTTATTAATCCTCGATAATTACGAAAGTTACTACTTAATTAAATTCGAGCGCTACTATTAATAGAATAATATTATTATGCTTTATATACCTCTATACTCCTCCCACTTCCTCTAGCCACTTAATATTAATTATTTTAGGCCGTTAAAATAAACGTACGGCTGCTAGATTAAGGGCTTAATATATATATATATTAATTATATAAGTAAGTTTAAGTTTCTTTATACTTTCCGCGAAGCTTTCTTCGCTTTTATAATAAAAATATATAGGGTAGCTTTACGGGTACTAGCCTTATACTATATAATCCAAAGAGGGTACTTTCTAAACTAAATATAAAGCTTCGTATACTAATACCCTTATTCTTAAGGCCGGGCATGGTACTACCTTAGGTATTTTAAATATTATAAAACTCCCGAGAAACTAATTTATAGTTAACGTTTATTAAAACTCGTATTACTAACTATTAAAATAGCTCCCCGACCTCGATATTAGTTACTATAGACTAGCTTACTAAGGGTACGATAACTGTGATACACTAAGTGGCCCTCCTTCAGTCAGAGAACGCTTCGCTCCGCAAGGCCAATGAGGCACTAAGTAAGCGCCGGAGAGCTAAAAAAACACGTGTACGACTCGGAGGATCACTTACTGTGCAAGATGCATAGGATCTACTGGACCAGAAGGCCGTGGGTGGGGAGGCAGTGGAAGAAATACAGCCGGATGGCGGTAGTATAGGGGGGGGCTCGTACGAAGGTTCAGTGCTGTGGTGTGTGCGGCAAGCCTGGCCATAATGCCCGCACTTGCCAGGAGGCTGCAGAAGGGTCTGATTCAGCTGTTTCTGACGTAATTGTAGTTGGTTCTTAATGTTGTGGTCTAGCAATTGAGGATAGTTATAGTAAGGTGGTGGAGAGTGCGTCGCTCGCTTATCTGCGTCGCTCGCTTATCATGCACGTTATGTTCCTCAAAGCCTTTGACTTTTAAATTCAATCCTGTATGACAAGAGACACAGTACAAACCAGCAAGTAACAACCCTACGACCAGCACCAACCACGATCACCTATAATAACAGGATCCCCGGCAACAGCACCAACAGCAGTAACAGAATCAATACCATTAATAACAGCAACAACAGCCACCGGGATGTCGCTGCAGCGAACAGACGCCTCCGCACGCTGGGCCAGCCTGGTTCAGGCTCACCAGTTTACAGTGTAGTCGTGCGAGGTAGCTCGCGAGAATGAGCTAAGTACGCCAGCGCCAGCAATGTTCTTCTGGAAGACGGTCTTTCGCGTGTGGGCGATGAGATCTCACATTTCTCCGTTCACATCCAAGGAGTTCGAATTCGAAGGGCAAAAGTCGCTGCTATCTTTCGAGAAGACATCCGGCTCACGGGACACCAGCCCGGCGACCACGTCTTCCGGGTAGCAAAGAACCCCAAGATCAGGTACACTCTCAAGAGGTGCCTGAGGTACGAAAGCCAAATCCAGCAATTTTCCAGACATTACTTTCGGCGGTTCATGTACGCAGTCCTGCCGGCAATTTTCGAGATGGTTATCTCTCTATTGGCTTTTAATCCGGCTGTCCAGTAACAATCGCTTCTATTCGAACTTGAGCGGATCGGATTGAGGCTGAGACAGAATCAAATCAGCTAAGTCGGCAATATCTGTCTGAGCTGTGGAAACTTAGATTGTCGGCTTTTGGGACGAGACGACTATGATCACGCCAAAGGTTCGTCCTGCCCAGCTTATAGCAGTTTGCCAGACCTCAACAGCGACGGATACATATGCCGCGGCTTCCTGGTGGTTTACAAGCTGCGAAAGAACAATATTTGGGGCTTTCGCTCGTATTAACTTGAGTGGAATTCGTTTATCCCTTTACTCGAAGATGCATCTGGTACCAATTTCGACATTCTGCTTAAGCATCACACAGAGAGGATGAATAGAGAGGGACTATCTATGCTTTAAACAGCGTCTCATCAGTCAGCACGCATGTGTTGTTGTATTGCAGGCCAGAAAACATCACCCTTGACTGAATCACTGTGAGCGGAAGTGGAAGTGAAGAGGGTGTAAGTGATAACGATAAGGAACGGGAATGGGTCCCTGCCACCCTGCCCACAAATTACTTCAGACACCAAACCACCCAAACCGCGGTCACTTACCCAGGAACCACCAATTCTCACCAGTCATATCTCAACTGTAGTTTAGTTAAAAGCTTCCAAAATTTTTAACAGGAGTAGGCCTGAGGTACTATATCCTTCTAGCCCTTTTTTTAGGCTTTTAAATACTTTTTTGGTAGAGAAAGGCGTGTGTGAAAAGGCGGTTTGTATTTGGTGTCGCAATTATTTGTGGGCAGGGTGCCTGCCAAACCAGATTTCTAGGCGGCCGGCAATCCAGCAGCCAATCACCGCTCGAGAGGCAGCTGTTGTGCGGGGACCCACAGGAGCACTCAACTTTTCATCATTTTACCGCGAGCACCACGAACACCTTGCGACTCGGAGCCCCCGCAGTGGTCAATCGAGTCCCCTCGTCCGCGATAAACACCAGTCTTCGTCGGGTCCACGAAGATAAGGAAACTTTCCACCGGGGACAGCACCAAGAAAAAGAGGCCACTCGATACCACCGACCCCTCCGACGACAACCCTCCTGGAAAGCGACCCAAACTCGCACCTCTCAAGACTCGCCATCTCCCCACTGCGAGACCGGCAGATCAGGAACCTACCGACCGCCCCCACGATCGAACAAGCCCACTGCAACCTAGTTCCGAGCAATTCCTTTCGAGATATATCCCAAAAACCTCACCCCCTCCCCCGAACCGCAAAGGCGCCGCCATCCCCACCAACGGCCGCCCCAAGAAATCCGTCCTTGAGAAACGATCCCCCCCTCCAAACCCGAAAACTCGACCCGCAAATTCATCCCCTTTTAACAACAATCACCATGTCAACCAAGACCTTCCTCCCCTCCCTCAGGGCCCTCACAACCCGCCTCTTCACCCGCCCACCCCCCCTCCCCACCCAACAATGCCGCCCCCTAACCACCACCCCCCCAAGCCTCGCCCTCTCCAAATCCTCCATCGCCAAACTCGGCCCCGGCTCCAAACCAGGCAAGGGCTCCTCCTCAGCCAACAAAAACCAACCAACCCGCCGCTCCAAGAAGAAAGGAGAAGTAGCCCGCGACCCCCGCATGATCAACCTCCTCCGCCACTTCGCCATCCTCTCCCCTCAACGCATTCCCGCCCCCCTCCGCATGGCCCGCAACCGCTACCTCCGTCACTGGACCATCCACCGCGCCTGGCTTCTCTTTCGCCGCCAGCAGCGCGAGGCCCGCGAGAGGAACTGGATGAGGCAGTACCAGTCCATGAACCGCGCCTGCGAGGAGCTGAGGCTGACCAGCGGGCCAGGGACGAGGGAGGAGGGGTATTTGTTTAGGATGGCGATGGAGAAGAAGGGCGTTTACGGGCTCAAGGGGGTGCCGATTGAGTATGCTAGGGCGCAGACGGAGACGCCGGCGAGGGTGCCGTGGGATCATGAGTGGAAGAGGGATTGAGTAGTAGATTCGGCCTAGATTTGGAAGATGTTGAGAGATGGGAATTGGGCGGGTGAGTGAGTGGGTGGGTGTATATACCCTGATATATTTTGAGATGTGTGGAAAGAGAAGTTGTATAAAATATCATGTATCATCACTACAAAAGAAAACGCTTTCGGCATTTTTTTTTTAAAAAAAACTTGGAAATCGCGCTCAGAGCAGCCAAATAAACAAGCTCAACCACACTTCACAAATCTCACTTGGTCATGACATGATGAGTCCACAATCTGTTTTTTTTTTCGACTTGAATACAGAAAATATTCGATAAATCACAACCGCCCCCTGCCGCACGTACAACACCACGCTTTTTACATGTTCCCATATTACCCTGCTCATAGAGAAGAAATGGAGATATGGTAGGAAACAGAGACATCGGCAGTTCAAGATAGAAAAACCTCAAAAACACAGTTCAAAATAATTAAATTCCCAGTTTCGCTTTCCATGCAACAAAACAAAAGAAAAAGAGAAAAGAGAACCCAGCCCAAACCCAATTTCACTGCGTGCCCCTCCCATTTCCCTTTGATGAACACTAATAAAAAAAACATGACAAAATACAGACAATGAAAACAAAACACCTCCCCGCTTGTTCCCCCATTCCCTGGATCGATACTTGAGAGAGAAAAAAGCCTCCGACTGAGAGTATTGAGAAAGATACAACCAGAGAGAGAAAAAGCAAAACCGAAAGTAACTTCTATAAAACCGTTATTAATACAGAAACTCGCTGGCCTTTTTGTTCCCCCCCCCCCTCCCGTCGTTTCAACACGTCAAATGTCGTGTGTGTATGGACTGTTGTGCCGGATTTAGGGCGGTTTGTGAGGGGTGATTGAGTAAGAATGTTATTCGTTCCGGCCAAGCGGTGGCAGTGATGTCGTCTGGTGTGGTATGTGGTGTAGTGTGGTGTGTTGGTGGAGTGATGGCGATGATGAACATGAAGCGAAGCTGCTCAGACCTGAACTGCCTTATTACTTCATGCGACTACCAACGCGACCTGGGGCTTGCAAAAGAGACCTATGCCATCCCGTCCTCCTCCTGGCGTAAATCGGTCTTGTCCCGTGAGAAGCACGACATGTCGGATGCGTTGGTTGCTCATAAAATGACACAGCAGCCGCCCCCCTCGCTCTTCTCAAACATGAGCAGCGACGCTCTCGTGGCCGCCTCAAACACATCATCGACGCCCTCGCCCGTCAAACTCGAGCACTCGAGGTACTTGCGCGCGCCGATTTCTTTCGCGGCATGCTCGCCCTCGGTCGGCGTGATAAATCTCTGCGATTTCTTCCGCATCTCTTCGATGGCGACTGGGTCGTCACGGAGATCCTTCTTCAGTCCTACCAGGATGATCGGCACCTCGGGACATCTCTCTTGTGCTTCTGTCACCCACTGTATTACACATTATCTCGGTCAGCAAAAATGCTTCCTCCTTTCTCCTTTGCGCTCGCTTGCTCCCTCCCAAACCAAGGCACAACACCCAGCAGATCCCGACTTCTTCCACGCCAATTGACGAATATGGGGAGGAGAAGAGATTGCGGCGTGGTACAAGCGTAACACCATGACGGTGACGTTAGATGCAGCCCGGAGTCTTGCAGCATGGGGGTTGGCCGAAAGAGGGAGGGGGGCCATGCGAGAAGAAGCATGGGAAAGGGGGGGGGGGGGAATTCGGCGGAACCCACCTTGTGTTTAACATTATCGAGTGAATCTGGCGTGTCGATGGAAAAGCCTATCAGGATGACGTGTGCTTTGGAGTATGCTAGCGGCCGTAACCGCTCGTAGTCTTCCTGGCCGGCGGTATCCCAGAGGGCGAGTTGTACGTTCTTGCCGTCTACTTTGCAGTCGGTCACGTAGTTTTCGAAAACGGTTGGAATCTATGGGGGTGGTAACGTGGGTTAGCGTCGTTGAAGTAGGCAAGGCCGGAGGATCACATCGGCGGGAAACATTGGCATGGAGTTTGTAGGTGATTCATAGAATTGGTAATTCGGCGACTAGGACTTACATAGTGCTGTGTTTACCCATGTTAGCATCAACAACACACCGACGAAGCGTGGGTCAGTCCAGGAGGGCTTACTGTGGGGAAGAAGCCGAGGGTGAATACGCTCAGCAAACTGGTTTTACCGCAAGCACCGTCTCCGATGATAACGAGCTTCCTGAACAACGGGTCGAGTCAGCAAGGTCTCAATTGGGGGGTTGAGGGGATCGCGGTGCTGGCTCCGGCAGAATCGCAAAAGGTGGATGGAGTGGATCAGGACGTACCTTCGGATGGCAGTCTGGTGCTGTCCGGATTCTTGCATGGCGGCCATGGTTGGCAGATGTGTGGGATAGGAGGAAGGGGGAATCGGAGGAGCGTCGTCTCGCTCTGGGGCCTCGTTCGTTGTGCGCAATGGGTTCGGGAAGGGGTTGAATTGGTCGCGGATGGACGAAAACTGGAGAGAAATAAGAGAAGCACACTGCTCTGGCTGACCGCTCGCCTTTCAAAGGAAGCCGGCACAGTATGGATGCATGGCCAGCAGTAAGCGGTGGCCCAGGAAATTTCGAGGGGAAACAATGGGTTGATAGCGGCTTGAGGCCTGATTACATAACGCCAACACGCCAACAGACCCCCTGTTTAGCCTCTGGAGCTTCCCACTGGCAGCGTCTCGTCCCGGCCGGCCCTGGGGCGCGATACGATGTGCCATGCCCCACTTTCCCCCAGTTGCTGGGCCCAGCAGGCCCGACAGCACCGTTCGATTTTAACTGTCACTCCTGTCGTCACTGGCAAACCATCATCCGAACGCACCGAGCAACAATACCTAGTCTACCTGGATCAAACATCTGTTCAGACTAGGTGACTGACTAGACACCTCAGCACACCCAAACAGACCACACACAACAGCCCAACTCGGCCAAAGCAAACTTCCTCCGTGCGTGGGAGACGCGAGTGACGAGTGGGCCGTAACGGCCGCGGGATGCTCACACCATGGCTTTGATAGGCTACTGAGCCGTTGGCGACCGGCGCTGAACTCTGGGGGGGCAGGCGGGCGACCCTGAGGCTGTGCACCTTTCACAACTTCGTACCCGACGACATCAATGCTCAATACGCACCCGATACGGCCTCCCACGCGAATCATGGCACCTTGAACGGAGCGGCTGACGGAGCTGGAGTGCTCCATTGGACCGGATCAGCTATTCTTGACTACCTATGTAAACGAGGTTGTGATTATGGAGAGAAGACAATGTATCATGGTCATGGCGCCAAGACAGATTAGCTCTTCGGTGTCTGTTACACCATGATATGGTTCTTGTGCTAAGAAGCTGTGGAGCAGAGGAAGCCGCCAAGGGTGTGTTTGAAACAGGTCGGTTGGCACTCGAAAGGGGTAGGTCAGCAAAGATTTGTGGTCGTGAACAATCGCAGTCGGTGCGGATGCGGCATCGCTTGCATTTGAAGGCCAAGAGATCTAGCTTCCACCGGTACCGCTGGCCCGGGAGAAAGCCACATGGAAATCGTTTAAGGGTCGACATTTGCTCTCGAATCGAGCGCCTATTTTTGTTTCGAAGCATTGCTGGTCAACAGGAAGCTGCGATGGGTGGAGAGTATGAACGGAGTAAGTGTTATCAAGTGATGGGCATGATGATGATGCTCGGCCGTAGGAATGACTAGAGGTTATCACAATACACGCGACTCCCCCCACTCACTTATAGCAACCTGCCCTAACGTGGCGATGACGGCATTGCTCACAGCCTAGCCCCTGAGCGCCCTTTCAGAGGTACCAAATAAGGTAATAAGCTGGAGACCTCCAGCTATTATTGTTGGCATATCGCATCCATGTCATGGATGTTCATCTCGTCTTGGAGTTCACGAATTTCTTGGTTCATCGTATTTACCAGCAAAGGAACATAGGTACAGATTCGAGCTAGCGTGTCATGTGGCAGATGGGATGGGAGATCTCCCAACATTTCATATGCCCCAAGTCTCCAATGGGAACAGGTCTAGTTGATGGTTGATGGCACTAGGTCACGGGAGTGCCTGCCAAAACTACCGTATGAAGGATTGTATCGGCATACAACCATTGAGCGGAGAATATGAGCCGTACTATGAAAACTTTGTCGTGTTCTCTTCGCGGCTGAAGGGAGGAGCGGGAAATCTAAAGTCGCAAATTGAAGACAGGGCAGGAGCGACACAGCAAGGCTGAGGTCACGTGTAGCAGGTGGGCCAATAGGAGCGGGGAGCTCTGGGCAGCGCGCCCGCACTGGAGGAGTTCCAGGGCCGGGACCACAAATCTAAGCAATCTAGGAGCACCTTGAACATCCGAACAACTTGATCACCTCCGAAGCGCACGACATCTCTCGGCCTGCATCCTGTCCCGCGCTGAGCCCCGGAGTCGCGTCTTTACCACCCCGCGCCCTCTTCCGTCCGCCACCTTTTTCGCGCTCTCATCTAGCAGCTCTCAACACCCCAAGCGTCTGCCAGTGGAGGACCCTGAAGTGAGAGTGAGTGGTCGACCCCTCCGTCAATTAACCCTCATCAACCCTGCCCTGCCCCCGACGGCCCCCGAGCCTAGTCATGACTCCCTTTTGATTTCCCCAACCGACAATCGAACGAAGTTGCTCTTTGGGTCGCTACTACAGTTTTGCTCTTTCCACCCCATCGAATCACACTACCCTTGCCCCCAACCAACCTAATAGGACAGAAGAGCTCCTCGAGCAACGACCGTTTGAACCTTGACACAATCCGAACCTTGTGCCCCCTCGACATTACCTATGCTTACCTAGCAAATCACTTAGTTCTACGACGGCTTTTCTCTTTCAGACACGTGCCATATCCGACTCGCCGACTCCACGAAGGGACCATCTCATTACATGTCCTCGTCACTTATCTACTTCAGGTTGCATTGAACTAGGTGACGATGAAGGGCAATCGGAACCCGGCCCCGCCAGTTGCTGCTAGTGCAGCTTCTCAGTCGCCCTCGGCGAAGGGGACAGCCAAGTACACCAACAAGGATGGTTCCAAGTTCATCACAGTACCTAAAGGCAGCACGCCCGTAGAATCTTCCCAACCTTCTCCAACATGTGCCTCCCCGGCGCCACCTGCTCCACCAGCGGTGAACAGGAAGAAGCAGAAAAGGCGCGAAAAGGCTGCGGCCAAGGCCGCTGCTGAGCAACAGCAGCAAGCACAGACTGGTCAGCCTTCAAATGGGACTCGCAGTGGTCCACAGCCACCTCAAGGCCAACCTTCGGCCGATGTCGAACAGCATGAAGACGAGGACGAAGAGGAAGCGGATGCCGGTCAAGACTCTCGAGACCAAAACCAACAACCTCCAAACGGGACTCCTAACGGGCAGCCTGCGAAATCGAAGAAGGCGAAAAAAAAGAAGAAGAAAAACAATAATGCTGCAGGGGCGAGTGCTGACGGGTCGGTGAATGGCAACCACGTTGATCACCGTCCCCCACCAACGTCACATATCAACGGCCGAGGGATGTCGAAGGAAAAGATTTGGAACACCAGCTCTCAAGAGGAGCGGGAGCGAATCAAGGAATTCTGGCTAGGACTAGACGAGGTGCAGCGCAAGAACCTAGTCAAGGTCGAAAAAGATGCGGTTCTCAAGAAGATGAAGGAGCAGCAGAAGCAAACTTGCAGTTGCTCGGTTTGCGGGAGGAAAAGGACGGCGATTGAGGAAGAATTGGAAGGGCTCTATGACGCCTATTATGAAGAACTGGAGCACTATGCGAACCATCCTCATACGACCAGTAATTCCTCACTACTTAGTCGCCACCACTCGATTAGTTTTTCGTCTATCCCACCTAATCTACCACACGGTCTTCCAAGCGGGCCGAGATACACCCATCAACCATCTCACGGTCGAATTTTGGAGCACGTCGACGACGATGCTGACGAGGATGAAGAAGGCGAGGGCGAGGAAGTCGAGGGCGAGGAAGTCGACTATGAAGGGGAAGAGGGGGAGGAGGAGTACAGCGAAGAAGAGTTGGAGGATGAGGAAGAAGACGACGAGGAATACAGCGACGATGAGCACGACCCATCCGAACTGCACCGAACCGAATACGCTTCCGACTTCTTCAATTTCGGAAATAGCCTGACAGTGCAGGGTAGGGACAGACTTCCCATACTTCCCTCCTTTTTACAGACTTATCCCTATGCAGGGACTGGCAATAACGCTTATGGCTCCTCTTCTATAGGCGGCATCCTGACCGTGGCCGACGACTTGCTCAAAAATGACGGTAGAAAATTCATTGAGATGATGGAACAGCTTGCCGAGCGGCGCATGGCCACTCAAGAGCGGGTGCTGCATCCTGGTGAGCAAGACTACGAGCACACGAATGGCGACCGCTACAGCCACAGCCACCCCCCGCCCGATCCTGATGACGAGGAGGAGGACTATGAAGAGGATGAGGACTATGAAGAAGACGAGGAGGAGTACGACAGCCAAGAAGAGGAAGAGGTATGGCAACAATTGTGATTTTCCTGGCCCATTCGAGTGCAGAATTCTAATATGGGTGGACAGGATCCCATGACTGATGAGCAGCGCATGGAAGAGGGCCGTCGGATGTTCCAAATATTTGCTGCTCGCATGTTTGAGCAGCGAGTACTCACAGCCTATCGGGAGAAGGTTGCCAAAGAGCGTCAAGCCAAGCTTCTGGAGGAGATTGAGGCTGAGAACCAACAAGATGCCCAGCGCAAAGCCAAGAAGGCCAAGGAGGCCCAGCGACGCAAAGATAGAGCGGCCCGGAAGAAGGAAGCTCTAGCTGAGGAGAAAGCTCGCAAGGAGGCCGAAAAGGCTGCCGAAGAAGCCGCGCGTAAAGAGGAAGAAGAACGCAAGCAGGCCGAGGCGAAGCAGAGAGCAGAGGAGAAGCGGAAGCGAAGAGAGGCTCAAAAGAAGGCTGAAGAGGAGGAACGGCTACGCAAGGAGGCTGAGCGACAACGCAAGATTCACGAGCGAGAAGAAAATGAACGCAAAGCTCGTGAGGCTAAGGAACGCGAGAAAAAGGCGCGCGAAGAGGCTCGACTCAGGGAAAAGGAGCAGAAAGAGCGAGAAGCTCGTGAAAGACGAGAACAGCAAGAGCGTGATAAGCGTGAGAAGGAGGCCAAGGCCAAAGCAGAGCGTGAATCTAGAGAACAGGCCAAGGAGACCAAGGAGAAGCGCAAAAAGGAAGAGAGGGCAGCTCAAAAAGCTGCAGCTATTGCGGCGACTGCTGCTGCTGCAACGGCCCCTTCTGTTACGCTTCCCAAACGTCTAGCCCAGCAGTCTGCGACAGCTATTCCAGCTCTGGCGCAGTCGTCAGCTTCATTTGCGTCTCCACTAATCACGGTAGCTACACCAGCCTTGCCGATGGCCCCTACACCAGTTCGTCCTCGTCAGCCCTCTCAGCAGGAAAGCTCAGGCATCCAGACATCAGGTGTTGGTTTTCCACCCGGGGTCGCTCCGAGCCATAGTCAATCACCTCATCCCCTGACGCCGATACAGGCTAGTCCAGGCCCCATTGGCCCACCAAGTAAGTCGGGACTCACAGGTCCAAACCTATTCGGCGGGCAAGCATCACAACACGCTGCGTCACCTTTGAGCGCGCAGCCCAGCAAGCCAGTACCGATGCATCCGAGTCCGTTTGGTATGCCCATGGGCGGCGGCGGCAGTATGCCGTTTCCTCCTGGCTTGGGCCAGATGCCGCCACCTGGATTTGGTAGTCCAATGCATCGTGATCCACCATTTTCACCCATGAATGCCTTTAGACCTCCTCCTGGGATTGTATCAATGCCTCCTGGACTAAGCGGTCCTGGTCCTAACCGAGGATTTCCACTACACCAGCATCACCCGCCTGGCTTTCCCGGACCGTTGGACTCGCCTGTCCCTCCAATGGCTCATCTGATGGGGCCGGCAGGTATGCAAAGCAATGGCGGTACCACGCATTCCCGCCAAGGTTCTGGCAGTCATGAGAGTGGCGGACCGCAACCCATCTCAAAGCCGACACCAATAGGACGCCCAGCCAGTGTTGTCCATGGCCAACGACCGTCAAGCTCTTCCCCTTCTAGGGACTTTTCGAGGAATGATCCGGACACGCACTTGGGAAGCAGTGCCCTACTAGATGACGGAGATGACCCGATCGACTTTGCTGGTCGTCCGGTGAGATTCCCAACCGCATCATCATTGCCACGACCTGGAGGATTTGGTGCTTTTGGAATGGACCCCATGTTCCCCAGTCATCCAAACCCTTGGGGACCGCAACCATTCGGCATGCCACCTCAGTCGCATCCTTTCCCCCCAGGACCTCCTCCTGGCTTTGGCGTGCCTAGCCCAGTAGGTTCCTCATGGGGTCCCCCTCCAGGAGCCAGCTTTGGCATACCAGGTGTTCTCGAGCGGCCTACTGAGCCACGCCACCTAACTCTCCGCAAGATGATGCGCAAGGCATGCGAGGACCTAGGTGAGCATGACACTCAAGCGGCCGAGGGGCGAACGGGATTCATCCCACTGGCGGACATCAAAGCCCAGGTTGACCGACTGCACATCAACGGACCCCCGGTAAATTTCGACGAGCTGCTCATGATCTGCGAGACTGAAGGCAACGAGGTGAATGGAGGTGGCATCTTTGAGCTTCGCGAAGAGAATGGGAACAAGTCGATCCAGTACTTCCTGAATAATGATCGGGCAAGACCGCAGGGGGTTCTCAGGACGGTTGGGTATCATCCGGGCAGTCCAACCAGTGGCGGTGGGCTGGGGTAACACTGCTTCCCACTCTGACTTGTTGATACTTTGAAGAAAGTACTTATTATGCCAAGGAAGAGGGCGCGGGTGTTTTAACCTGTTCATAGCGAATAGCGAAGACACCAACTATTAACCGAGTCATACATCACCTTGCCTTTATGTTCTTGGGGAATCACCAAGGCCCACGATGTCTTTGCAACCAAGCCCGGCAATGAAGCATATTTATTAGCTTACTGGGTGTTTTGCGTTGGGTTTGTCTTGGTGTTGAGATGCGTCGATAATCTTGCGGTAATTTGCTCAGAAGGGGGAAGCATTCGAGAAAATAGATGGTTAAGGAGATGGTCGGAGAGCGTGGAATCAAGCCAAGTTGTCGGGTTTAGTGTAAAGTAGCTAAGCATTGCGGATGTTGGAGGATGTAACAATCAAGCGGCTCACAGAGGCTCTGTTCATGGCTCATCTACTGTCCTTTATGCTCGACTGTGACTCATTGAGTGATTGAGTTTAACGCCCTGGAGTGGAAGGCTTAAACAGTGGGATATGTCGGTGAGCTTCACACCATGAAACAGACATTATCGAACAGATAAAGTCACATGAAAGGGCATTGCAAAAGGACAGCTGAAACAAGGTGACAACGTGAGAGAATATGCCCAATGAAAAATATATTTCCCTTCATGTTATACTCCGGCTTTAATGAAGCAGCTAATGCCACATCTCCTGTGTCTTGTTTATCTAGCGGTTTTTGTTCTTCCCGTCTCTAGTATACTTCCCTTCCAGCGGCCGTCCAACGCAGCACACAAAAAGCCAACACGTCAACACCTTTCCACTCCACATCACACCCCCCTATCTCTCTCTCCTTCCTCCCCTCTTCCCCTCTTTTTCTACTCTCACGTCAAGGCCCCCTCCCGAGAATCAGCAAACGGATTCCCCTGCCCCCCACTGTGCGCCAGCATAACCCGTCTGCTGTCCCACATCAC